AATCGGCTTGCTTTCAAAGCGCTATTTAAAGTGCCCTTCTTTCTCCACGCTCGCTGTTGTCGCCCTGTTGATGACGTCAGCGACGCGGTTTAATCAGGCGCACTTTAGTCGAGCGCGGTTTTGTCGTGCCACGGCGATCACCTTTTGTAACGTTATGACAAGCAAAGTCAATGGGGAAGCCAGGGTTCACTTAACAATCAGATTAACTAACAACTGCAATGATTCACTTAACAACTGTGGCAAGAAAGTTTGTAAAATGGGGCAAAACTCACTTAACAAATGTCTCACTTAGCAACATGAATTTTGGACTCAATTGCAGTCGCAAATCAAGGACTACTTGTATATTGTACCTGCTACATTGCTATTATTTCTGTGGTTCAATTTAAAGTGCTGTCATAAACCTTCAAGCTACTCAAGGGACCATGTAGAACCTGCAAGATTCCTGCTCTCTTAGACCAGCATTATAAACCTTATTTGGGTAGTTATCTGTGCAAGAAACTAAACTGAGTATCATATGAAACATGCTTTTTTTATTCTGGTGGGGTTGAAACGTTGCTTCAGCTGATATTTTAAGAATCCAATTATCCCAGACTTTCAAGCAAGCTCCAAAATTTAAACAATTACCTTAATTTATGGTTGATTTAGGACTCAACTGAGGCCTACGCTGTTGTTGATAGTGGCTGGTTTCAGTTTTCTGTTTGCACCATAGTTCTGTTGTGATAAACACAAGATTATCATATCCTTTGAAGTATTCTTTGCTTTTTTTAATCACCTTAATTGGCTGAACTGGAAAAGCAATTAAAAAAAATGAATAGCTGGAAACACTAAAATCTGGTTCAGGTAGAACTCAGTTCGTAATGAATGAACAGGCATCGGCATGCAGAAGAATGTTGTTTTCTTGGCTAATAATAAAGGAATGGTTTGCTATTATATGTTTCAGGGATACCTTTTCAACTTCTCGGTCCAATTGAAACATCTGGCGTTTCCTATCTAAATCGTAACATCCACCTCTACTTATGCCTTTCAGGCTTAAAGTCACTATGCTAAAAAAGGCAAAATATCTTTAAACAACCACAATGAAGTCAATGTTATTGCCAAATAAGAGTAATATAGGTAGGAAATACATGGAAATAAATCCCAGAGCTCAGCAAAGCCCTCTATTTTTACTAGGCTTTTGTTCAGCAACCGTGTTAACGCTCTTTTTTATAACCACAACCTCTTCCAGACTGAGATTTTACAGTGAATTTTGGATTAGCCCCAAAACCAAAACGCAACCTGGAAGCAGCTCTGCCCACCATCTATTCCACCACATCGCAGCAATGCATTCCCGGTCTGTAACTCGCCCAAGGCCAAAGAAGCCAGGCGAGCCATTCAAGAAAAAAAAAGCAAATTCAAGCAACGGGTATAAAATACATACGGCTTGCACCCAGCAAACTGGAGAGAGAGAGAGGGAGGCAGAGAGAGAGAGAGAGAGAGAGAGAGAGAGAGAGAG